CTGGTGGCGTGGTGTCTAAGGCATTTAACTGCTAACCAGAAGGCTGGCGGTTCAAACCCACCAGCCAATCCTCGGAAGGAAGATGAGGCAATCTACTTCCATAGTGGTACTGCCTTGGAAACCCAACGAGGGGTCGCTATGAGTCGGGTCCGACTCGACGGCATATAACAACAACAAAAACAAATATATATATATATAACATTTCCTTATGATGCATCTGTAGCAGTGAAATTGCAGGGTAAAAAGTGTGAATATTTTAAAGGTTTTTGTTCCTTTTGTCTCCCAAAAGGTCTTTACCGATTTACATTCTTAGGAGCACTGTGAATCATTTCTCCAAACTTCTCTGCTAATAATGGATATTATAATTTAAAAAATTCATTGCCACTTTCTTTGATGTAAGTGGTGTTTTTCATTGCTTAATTTGTATCTCTCTTGATCATTTGTGAGGTTCAGAATTGGTTTTATGTGTTTGCCTGTGTGCAGTCCTGTTTGATGAATGAGAGCATTTTCTAGCACTGCATTTGTGGCACTGAGGAGCCCTGTATCCCACATCCTATTTCCTTTTTTGAAGCTCAATATCAAATTCACTTTATTGTCCAACTGCCTCCTAGGCCAGCATCTGTCTGGAAGATGGAATAACCCTCCTAGGTGGGTAGGTGGTCATATGTGACTTGGGCTTGTCAGTCCTTCCTTCAAGGGAAAAACAGTTCAAGTTAGTGAAAACTCTTCTGGAATTAGAATTAGGGGGCGTAATTTGAATCTGGTGTCTGCCACTCACATAGCTTTGACCCTGAACAAATTACTCTGATCCTCAGATTCCACATCTGTAAAATAGTCTTGGGCAATGGACAAAATGCATATGTAAAGTCCAGAGGAATTATCCCAAACCTGCCACCTTGTAGGTGCTCAGTGAATGCTTGTTCCCCTTTCCAACTAAATGCAACTGTAATTTGTGCTTCTCTTTTGCACTCTGAAGACACTATCCAGCCAATGCCTGTCTGATTCCCATATGTTCTCTGTATGGTGCTGCCGTCACCACAGTAGAAGGCCTGGGAAGCACCAGCAGCAGGATTCATCCTGTTCAGGTGAGCTTTGCTTCTTCCTCATAGAGTTTCTGTGCTTTGAAAACCATTAATGACATTGTGAGTCGTGTAGTTGATAGAGTAGAGCAGTCTGAGCCCTATTGCTTGCTGACTGAGCTGGATACTGAAGCAAAACCTGGGACATTTGGGATTTTTGTATCTGACTTGTTGGAAAGATGCTCTTGGAAGACTTGTTGATAGTTGCCAGAGTCAGTTCCTCATGGCAACCCTATGTGTGCAGAGGAGAACTGCTCCGTACGATTTGCAAGGCTGTGGTCGTTCAGAAGCGGATTTCTAGACCTGTCTTCCGAGGTGCCTCTGGATGGGCTTGATTTGCCAACCTTTCAGCTAATAGTCAAGTGCTGTCTGCATAATCCAAGATGAGAGGACTTTAAGGAAGCTATTAAAACTCTGATAGCATTGTTGAGTTTTTCTCCCTAAGTTCTAATTAGATGCCACCTGTCCACTCTTCCAAATGCATTAAGATAATGGAACCATGTGTATTTCAAGGATATAGTTTGTTTGTTTTTAAAGTGGAAAATAATACTGTAAAGTTGAATAGAAATCTCAGCTGCCAAAAGCGTTTGTTAAATTTACAACTTGCTCAGAAGACAGATAATAGGAGTCGTCGATGAATCATATGGCTCTTCTCCTAAGGCAGCATCTTGTTAGAGCTTTGCCTCAAGTGAAAGGGCACCTTCAGACTTCTGACTGTTTATTTATGCAATGCCCATAGAGATACTATGCCTACTTGTTTTTATCTAAATTAATGAGGGTCACTTTTGAAGAGAAGGTGAAAGAGGGAAGAGATGGGAACATCATAAAAAGTGGCCAAATTTTAAATTCTATAAACTTAACGGAATCTTGAGGTCCATTTATTTTTGTGAAACTTTTTTATCTCATGGGAGAGAATTCTGCCTGGATAAGCTCTGTGTTGTTGTGTTTGTTGTTAGGTGCAGTCAAGTCGTCTCCAACTCATAGTGACCTTATATACAACAGAACGAAACACTGCCCAATCCTGTACCAGCCCCTCAATACTTGCAACCCCTGAGCCCATCATTGCAGCCACTGTGTCAATCCAGTTTGTTGGGGGCCTTCCCCTGTTTTGTTGACCTCTACTTTACTAAGCATGATATCCTTCTCCAGAGCATGGTCCCTTCTGACAACATGATCAGAGTAGGTAAGACGAAGTCTGGCCATTCTCGCTTCCAAGGAGCATCCTGGCTGCACTTCTTCTAGGACAGATTTGTTAGTTTTTAGCTGTTGTTGTTATGTGCCCTTGAGTCGGACCCGATTCATAGCGACCCCTCCTTGGGTTTACAAGGTGATATCACTACGGAAGCAGATTACCCCATCTTCCTTATAAGGAGTGGCTGGTGGGTTTGAACCGCCAGCCTTCTAGTTAGCAGTCAAGTGCCTTAGGCACTTCACTACCAGAGCTCCTATTTCTTGTAGCAGTCAATGGTATTTTCAGTATTCTTCACCACAACTCAAAAACACCAAGTCTCCTTCGGTCTTTCTTATTCATTGTCCAGCTCTCACATGCATATTAGGCAATTGAAAATACAGTGGCTTGGGTTAGCTCTGTGAGTCTTAGCCATATACATACTTTTTCATTTACTAACTGATGTTAGTACAATGTTGTCCTGTTGTTACAATGTAGCTAGAACACAGCTTCCAAAAGGAGGTTGCACCTTACAAATTCAACTCCAAAGAGAAAATGAGGCAAGGGAAGGGAAAGGCATGCATGAGACATAGGAGCAATTGAGGGGCTGGCACAGGACTGGGCAGTGTTTCGTTCAGTTGTACATAAGGCCACTATGAGTCAGAGACGACTCCTGACAGTCTCTTCATTGACAACGGCACTTTTGAACACCTATGTACTAAAGCATTAAGGCTGCTGTTGTTGTTAGGTGCCTTGCAGTTTATGTCCAACTCATAGTGACCCCATGTGACAGAGTGGAACTGCCCCTTGTTCTGGTTCCCTAGTGCCGCTCTGACAAGAATATACCACAGATGGGATGGCCTTAACAAACAGGAGTTTATTCTTACAATTTGGAGGCTTTAAGTCCAAGTTCAAAGTGCCAGGCTTTAGGGGCTGGGTGAAAGCCCCTCAATCTTGGGATCCAGCTCCGCCTCCTGCTCTTGGCCTACTGGAGCTAGAGGCGTTTCTTCACTCAGACAGCTGCTGCTGGCTGCTGAGGCTGAGAAGCCCCAAGGTTGACAAGTAAAAAGGCACAGTCCCGATGTTAACCAAACCACACGGCAAGCCATTAACTTAAGTCCATTGTAAGTCCCAAGGTAGGCAGAACATAGCAGACTGCTGAGCAATGACATGGCTACATACAGGGTCCAAGTGTGCCATAGACTAGAGACCATTCCCAAGGCTTCTCCTTATATACAGGAAGCAGACCACATCCCAAAGGCAGCTACTCAGATGCTTGTGGTAGATCCCAGCATGGAGTTGATTGCCAGTCTCCTCATGGGGAATAACTACTGCCAGCTGCCCGCCACTCAACCAGGCCCAGCCAAGCTGACACACAAACATGACCACCGCAGCCCTGTAGGGTTTTCTAGGTCAGAATCTTTACAGGAGCAGATTTTCAGGTCTTTTCTCTTGTAGAGGTGCCGCATGGGTTCAAACAGCCAACCTCTCCATTAGCAGCTAAGTGCTTAAGAACTCAAGAAATATTTTGAGATTTTAAAAATTTCGTTTCTCAATTTGAAGGTAATTCGATACATTTTTCGAAGGACTTTCAGGGAGCACCTCTTATCTCAGTGATGCTCAGCGTTGACTGTACAATGGAACAACCTGGGGAGTCTTTAACAATGCGTGCCTGAGCCCCATCCCCCAGAGACTGTGAGCCAACTGGTCTGGAGTGTGGTATGGGCCTTGGGAATGTTGAAGCTTCCTCTGAGGGCTGAGGACCTTAGATGAGGCACAAACGCTGATGTGGCCCAGTTATGAAAACTCAGCCCAATGACGGGGAGGCACTGGGATGAGAGGGTTTTCCTGGGTCTTTTCCCAAACTCAAATGGGCATACATATAACCTGGGGATCTTGTTCAAATGCAGGTGCTGATTTAGTAGTGCTGGGAACAGGCCCAAGATTCTGCATTTCTAACTTTACTGTGCTTTCAGGAGAGAATCGCCAAGTGTCATGGTACCCAGTGTGGATTCTGCACCCCGGGGATGGTAATGTCCATCTATGCTCTACTGAGGAACCACCCAGAGCCCTCGCTGGATCAGTTAACCGATGCCCTTAGTGGTAGGTTATATGTGTGTGCTTTTATTTTGAAGTAATGATGATGATGGTAACAGCTAATATCGGACACTTACCATCTGCCACAGGGTCCCAGAGTGGTGCAAATAGTTAACATGCTTGACACCTAACTAAAAGATTGGAGGTTTGAGTCCACTTAGAGATACTGCAGAAAGGCCTGGTAATCTGTTTCTGGGGAGAAAAAAAAATCTGCTATTGAAAACCCTATGGAGCACAGTTAGGACCATGAATTGGAATTGACTCAATGACAACTGGGATCCTTTTGGCAACTGGTTTTTGCTACTATATAATGTCTTCGGTCTTTCTGTCAACTGAAGCTTAGCTCTTGGACTATAGACCAGGAGTTTTTGGCTTGAAATCACTGTGTTCTTTGAGCACCTATCACAGAGGACTTAAAAACTGTTTACAGAGAGAAAGTACAAAGAGCTGAATCATTAGAATCCGTCTCAGGCTCTCAACCAAATACCCCAAGTAGCTCATGGAAAAACCTGACTTTGTGGATAAGGTGGACTGAAATAGCAACAGGAATCCTCCTTCAGATGGGATCCCCTTTACATCCTGTGTTTGGCAGATGGTGCCTCTCTCTAGGTTATGTGATTCACAGAGCTGGGTTTTCCTCCTTCAGGTAACCTGTGCCGCTGCACTGGATACAGGCCCATAATAGATGCTTGCAAGACTTTCTGTAAAGTAAGTCGGAAGGAATTCAATATTAAGTGTATTTTCCCCAATGTGGCAAAACCACAGAGGTTGTAAGGTGTAATTGGGGGAGCTGCCACTGTTACTAATACAGGACTACTGCTTATCAGTTACAGAAATTGCTGCTTGTTGTTTGATCTTGGGCAGGGTACTTAGCCTTACTCATTGAACTTGCCCCCTAGTCACATAATAAACCCTTATGCACTTTGACCTTGGTCACTGTCATTGCTTCATAGGGCCTTACCTCACCTGTTCACCTGGGTTGAGCATTTTCCCTAGTGCTCTGGTCGGCCTGTGTACACACCCCTTTGTGATGTCTATCTCACTGTGGTGCAGTTGTCCATCTGCTCTTCACCAGACTGTGGACTGTTTGACAGCAGAGGCTATGTACCTCCAGGGCCTGTTACCATGCATTAATTGAGCAGCAGTTCATTAGATACTTGTTGAGTGAATAAATGGAGAAACAACCTTGAGAAACATAAAATTGCCCTTTGGAAGTTAGATTATGACATTAGTAAATTATGTATATATTAGTAAATTATGACATAGTAAATTATGTATTTGTTGTTGTTGTTGTGTGCCGTCGAGTCGTCCCCGACTCATAGCGACCCCTCCTTGGGTTTCCGAGGCAGTATCACTACGGAAGTAGGATTGCCCAACCTTCCTTCCGAGGAGTGGCTGGTGGGT